GGGTTGCGATCCGTTGCCGGACACGGAAAAAGACAAAAGACAAAAAAAAAAAAAAGAAAATCAATTGACTAGCCTCTGCTCCCCTTTGCTTGTTCTCCTGAAATACCCAGCTTTCAAACATAAAAACCACTCTAATGTCTTTAAGAGAATATTATTTTCTACCTCCTTGCTCCGGTAGACCCAATTTCCCTCCTACCCATTTTGCCAGAAATAACCAGGAGAAGGAACCACAGAGATAAACTTCTAAAAAGCATGAGTCCTAGATTCGTAACTATTCCACGGATCACAGCAACAGAAACTTGTGAATTTTCTTTGCTCAGCTACTCATGCACATATGCTTTTCATACTATTTTATTCTTCCCTCTCTCCCACCTCCCCCTTTTATGTAATCTCCCCACCTCATGACTTTTGCTTTTACTCATAGTTTCAGCCGTCTCCTAACTCCAGCTTACACATGAGCCAACATTATTTTTCAATACCATTCCAGCAATTCCATCATCTTCCTTAAGCTCCCAATATTTCTTGGCTCAGTCTTTCAAATTTAGGCTGGCCGGTTAGCTCAGTTGGTTAGAGTGTGGCCTTGTAACACCAAGGTCAAAGGCTTGGATCCCTTACAAGCCAGCTGCCAAAAAGAGTTCAGTTTCTCAAGTTTACCGTTTCATGCCAGACATACTCATGGTCTCATCAGCTATGACCTTGGAAGGTGGAGGAAAGAAAGAGGGGCGTGTTGATGTGGTCTACAACTGCCCCTTTAGCAAGGACAGTGGAAGGGACATTGTTTCTCCTTAGGACAGCCTTAGCCATCAGGTCCCTCATGGCCAAAGCTTTCTCTCACGAGGTTCTGCCCTGTTCACACACCTTGTGGGCCTTTGAAAACTAGTTTAAATGGTTAAATGCTCAATTACCTGCTATCGAGGGTACTCAGATTTCAGATTTGAAACCTTTTCTTGATTCAGCTTTGATAAAGAGGGAGGGCAGTCAAGAAACTATCCCTCAGCCTGTCAAAGAGGCAAAGGTAACTTCCTCTGGCCCCCAGACCCCTCTGCTATGTTCTCACACATGCAGGGCCAATGAGGAGAATGGACTTCAGAGTCACGTATGCATTTAGGTGCCACTTCTGCCATTTACTCTGTGATCTCGGAGAGGTCAAAACATTTTGAGTTTTGCATTCATCTCTAAAATGAAGTAATTTTTTTTT